ACAAGTTTGGTAGTCACGTGGCGTGCTACGTTGCATGGATACGTATCGGATACGGGGATACGCCCGATGCGCCAATTTTCTAAAAACATGGATACGGGGATACATTTATATATAGATGCTACATATATTAATTATTACAAATATGAAGAAAAATTTAAGGAGCTTCTAGGTCAAAGCATGCCTCAATAGGATTACCCCTTTCTTTTCTTGCACTTAGTCCACCTCCATTAATTGGCAGTGAGATTTGCCTAAGTTTGCTATTCCAATCAATGCATCGACTCTCTCTTGCTCACCTTTCAATTAAACAAAAACATTGACAGACATGTTTTCACATGAACTCACGCCCATGTTGGTAATCTTCAAAAGGTGCACCTTTATTATTGAGGGGATTTCACGTCGAACGAGGGGTTTCAGGTAACCAAAACGTATCGCAGAAGTATAGGAGTATCAAACATTATTATCTTTTTTTGAAGTCAAAATATCGAGGGATACTTACGGGGTACGTATAGGGCAGTATCCGGTAGGATACGCGCACTTTCTGAAGTATCCGCGCAACATAGGTGGCGTGTGGCGTATAACTTCCTGGTAGTGTTTGTCTTCTGCAGGACCAGGTTCCTGGAGGGCGACACAGGGGGGAACAGCAGTTCGCGGAATAGCGACTAGTCCGTGCCGTCCAACAGGGTTGGTTCACCAGCGCGCGTGCCTCCATGAGGTGCGCCATCAGTACATCCGGGTGCAGGTACTGGTATCGGCGGCGGGTTAGCTATGCGACGTGTGTTGCTGCTGTCGTGCAATCACATGTGCTTGTGTCGCGCGTGCACAACCGACGTGGACACGTACCCCTTGTACGAGGCCACGTGTAGCCCCGTGTCTTGTTCTCTTGATTGAAGCAACTGTTTGCCATTTGCGGTAGGAAAATCAATTTGCTGGCGTCGGCAAGCTTGATCGTGTTACTGCATCATGCCGAAACATATCCGCTTGCGCACGTTATGGTTTGTTCAGTAGCCGGAGTAAAAGTTAAGTTTTATCGCCCTAGTCCCTTCATCGTCGCCGTCGATGTCGGACAGCTGCTCGAGATAGCACAACCTTAATCTCATCCCGATCTCCGCTCCATGCACACCTCTTAGTGCCGGTGATGTGTGGACCATGTTGGCTGTTAGCGTTATATTATGTTCCATGTATTTCCTTGTTGTATGAGGGGTTTCCTGCATATGCATATTCACCACTTGCACATGTGTGTGTGTGTACTGGCCATTGGCCCCTAGGAAATGCAAGTTGCATATTTCCTAACATGGCACTAGAGCATAGGTCATTTTTTTTTGCACGTGCAACTCGTGCTTTGATCCATCGCTTTGGTGGGTGCTGCGTCACCTGACACCAGCCGTGGTCTCTAGCGGAGCTATTGTGTGCTTCTCCACCCCGCAAGTCAACGCCCACTCGTCCACCTCGTAGGCCCAAGCCTCTTCAGTCGTTGTTGCTCTTCCTGCAGCCATGTGACATCGGCCACAATCTTTGGCTGGGGTACTATCTGCTTGCTCGTCCACCCCGCATGTCCAAGCCCATGTCAATGTCGCCCGTTCATTTCGCAAGTCCAAGCCCCCGTTAATGCCGGTCTGCCTTTGGCCGCGCTACGCTAGTCCGCCAGTTGCCGCCATCTCAGGACTGACGTCCTGATCCTTCTGCCGCCTGTCCCGATCCGGCTGCCGCCGTGCCTGATCGGCCCGCTCGGTCGTCCTTTGCCAGGCCCGCCTGTCCATTCCATGCCTGGCTTTCTGGCAGTTCCACACCTGGCCGTTTGGCCGTTCCATGCTTGGCCGCCAGGATCCATCGCTGCTTGCTCTAATCTGGCCCGCCTCGGTTGCCTCCTGGAGCATCCGACACTTCTTTCAGGGCTTCATGGAGGGCAGCAGGAATGGCTCCTCCCATGGCAAGAGCTCTCGTCAATGAGCAACCATGATGGCTATTTCGAGCCTGCTCTAGTATTGACGCATGGCAGCATATTAGGTGTGTTGGGAGGCATGGGCAGGCCATCGACGGCCCCTCACTGTTTGGGCATGCTTGCACCCACTTGCTGCTTTACTGTTGTCACATGCTCCGGCCGGAATAGCTATCCGGTGCCGTCATCACTTTGAACATTGCCCCATGGATCATCATCACTGAACCAGGTGTGCTCAACAGCAACCTTCGCAGCGGTGAAACCCATGCCGGCTAATGAGAGACTTCAGCTCCCTTATTTGGAAGGATAGGGCCTGCTTACTCATTCTTATTGCTTACATATAGATTCATCATCAGACAATTCAAGTGGAATTCGAAGTGGGGGATGTGCCCCACTTAGTCTTACGTGGGGTATGGGTATCTAGCGGGGAAATCCCTACAGGAGAGAGCACGTCCATGCATGCAGGAATTTCCCACCTCATGCTGGCATCGTCACATTAATTGCTAATTTTTATTTTTTGAAATGATTTATCTCACAAATCTTTAATTTGGTTAGCGAGTCTTCTTCATCCTCAATGAGGGCTTCAAAACAAGATCTCATGTTGGCATGTTTCAATGATTTTATTCCGTGGCCACCAGTTGCCAGATTATTTAGATTAAATGCTGAGATAACCAGATTTTTTTCTCCAGAAATAGCCAATGGATCTCAGGTCCCATTGTACCCGAATTGGAAAAAATAATTTGAAAAATCCAAAAAGCTTAAAAAATTCCTGATACGTTTTGGAATCAAACCTGATCAGGTATTACACTCGTGTGAAAAGCTTCGACCGACTCCTTCGCCAAGAAAACAAATTTGAGATTACAAAAAGCGTGAGTAGTAACTTTTATAATGTCGATCCACCAAGGATACCATGAGTCATTCCTCTGCAAAACTTTTCACATGAGTATTACTCTGACCATGTTTGTTACAAAGAAGTTTCAGAAATTTTTAACTCTTTTTGATTTTTCTAAAATTGTTTTTCCATTTTGGGTGCATTGGCCTCCATGTTCCAAAGATCTGCGCCAGTTTTTTCTCTGGCTAGTTACTATATTATAGTACCAGTTACTATATTATAGTAACCGGATGAATGGCACTCAGTACTGCAAACTAAGTTATATAAATTTGGTAACTACGGGTATATAAATCCGGTAAGTAAGTGAAATTAATGTCGTAACTACTGACAAAAAAATGTTGTCAAAACATACAACACGGGATGTAGTTTTGAAGATCTTGCGGCAATGAATAAAATGATAAAACGGATCATCAATCGGGTTGATGGTTTAGGAGATAAAAGTTTATAGTGTAGTCTCCCACATAAGACACTGAGGGGCACGTCCCCTACATAACACAGTCCTACATTAAATCATCCTTTACACGATATCATGGCCCTATTGTGCATCAGAAGTGCGCTTAAGCATCGTGTGGAATTTGGTGTCCAAAACTATGTTTGCATGTATGGTGGTTGGCTGGCTGGCTGGCTGCAGTAACCTATTCCTGAAATTTTCATCCTTGCACATTCGAACAACTTTATTATGTCGTTTGGCAGGTCCAGCAGCATTTAGACCACGTGTAAATGCAACCTCAGTATATAGCTCACTAGTGGAGAATGGCCGCCCTGTACTACAAGGGCTTCTGGCTGTTGATATAATTGCCAAAGAGGTAATGCCTTAGTAATTGAAACATGAATTTTCTTTCAACCCTTAATTGTACTTAATAATATTTATTCTCTCATTGTCTCCTTAGGTTCTTGGTTGGGTTCAATTGATGCCGGTCTATGCTGCTGAGCTTGTCGAGTATGTTCGCACCTTTCTGGAACGTACACATGAAAGATGCCGGGCATCATATATGGAGGTATAATTATGCACTTGTCTGTTGGTTTCAGGAACATGCAATTCTTATATGTGAATTAAATCTACTACTTTTATGTTCTAATTATATGGCAGGCTGTATCCTTTTCTTCTTCTTCTAATTCTGCTGACTTGAAATACAAACCAATAATTGTGCACTTCTGAAACTCGGCTGCCGAGCTGTATATCCCACATCTGTTTGGTTTAGACGAGACCCATAGATATGGACGGTCAACTTTAGATGTGGAACATTGACGTCATTGTGGCTAGCAGCTAGCCTTGCGCAGAGAGGAAATGTCATTGTGAAACCCCGACAACACAAAGTATGCATGCCAAATTGATGAGGAAAAATAGATGAGAAAAAAAAGAAGAAGAAAGAAAAACACATGCCAGATCTGTTTAGCTACTTCTAGATGCTCCCAGTCTAGTGTAGTATTTCTTTTCTTTACCCTACCTGCTGTTTCTAGAGTTCTCTAGTTATAAGTAGCTGTGAGTAGAATGGTGAATACGAAATAATGTTTTCTAGATTGTTCCAGCTATAAGTAGAAGTATGTGAAGGCTTCCCAAAGCCCTATAAATAGAGGTCCTCACCTCTACTTTGGAACCAGACTATGTACCCACTACCTATAATAGAACTTGTTGTTTTTATCTAAGATCTTGGAGTAGATCTTGTGCCCTAGGAGTTCTGGATTGAACTCTTGCTGCCCTATCGGCCTACATTCGCCTCTAGAGCGATATCTAGCACAGCACGTTGAAGCTGTTCCTTCAACACTTGTGCTGTACACATTGTAGCAGCAAGGTGGAGTTGCTCCTCCATAACCTTTGTGCTGCTTCACAAATCCATAGATCCTGGAAAGCAACAACTTCAAGAATGATTCATAGTTACCGGATTCGCTCAAACCATCGTCGAACTCTGATCTAGATCAATTGTAGATTGGGGTTTGAATTCATTCGATTCATACCTGATTTGCTGTCTGATTTGTGATTGGAGGACGAACAAGGGTGTCCCTCGTGTCCTCATTGTTGCTGCCTGATGTGGCACCTCTGTTGCTGCTGCAACTCTGCTATCATCGCAATTAATTGCAGACGAGATGGGAGTAGGCAGTCAACCAGGAGCAGCCTGGACGTGCTGTTGGGAGGAGATGGGAGGGACTGCAGCCAGCATGGAGCAGCATCGAGATGGCACTGGAAAAGATGGGAGCAGGCAGCAGCAGTAAAGTAGAAGGAGCAGCAGGTTGTGTGGCTTGGCTGGAGGAAGGAAGTGAGGAGTGGTGGCTGGTGGTTTAGGTTTCAGCTTCTAAAGGAGTTAGGGCAGAAATGAGGAGGGGATTAATTTGAATGGAGGTCACTATCTGAGCGTCCAATGGTTCTTAATAATGGGAGAGGGAGTGGCACTAGCTGAGCCAGCCGAACTGCCTGATGGGTCGTTTCTTTCTATATCTTTTATTTCTTAAAATGTATTTCATCTTTGATTCACAAATAGAACAGAATCTCGAATCCTATGCAACCGATTTGTGAATCCTATGCCTAATTCATGAATCGAAGATGTATACCCCCTGTCAATTTGATTCATGGAAATTGGTGAATTGTGAATCATGAACCCGAATTGCAAACTGAGAGAATCTGGTAACTGTGGAGTGATTATTGGTTAATGGACATGTCAAAAGAACTGCCGTGCTATGGCACAGGGCAATTCTTCCACCTCCAATGCATGCGATTGATGCGTCCAAGCATATCCTCGTGAACCCTCTTAAGCACCAATTGCCATAAGCCTTTGTGGTGTCCTCTTCGTTTTGTAATCGCAAGTACTCCCAAAAGACTACAACCACAGCTTTCACCATTCTCCATAAACTCAATATGGTCGTGCTCTCTGACCTGAATGATCTCATCAATAGAATCAGCTGGGACACCATATGTGATCACATTTCCGCACGCAAGTTCCCCAGCCGCATTTCTTTTCTGCTTGAAGTATGGGTCATGGGCCTGTATAGCGTTTTCAATATGCAAGTACAGCTCCGTAATCATCTGGAACCATTCACGGAAATTTCAGCCTGCCACGGGTAGTTGGAGGATAGGGGTGGGAATGTTCACACCTTATATGGAGGGGGTCAAATCAGCAGGCAAAGCAAGTGTCTTTTGCAATGTCTACATTTAACGTTCGTACTAGTAACTCGTGGCTAACAACTAATCTTATTGGGTGAGTTCTGCAAGCAATTTTCTAAGCAATCACAGCTTACTTTGATGCAGTGATGCTCTTGTAGCTCAACTCCGTTGGTGCTAAATTAATAAAAATAAGCCCCCTTTTTTTGCAGTCCAAGTGTATTTCTAGTCTGTTTTCTCCATGATCCTTTTACATTCTGGCAAAATGCAGGCTGTTCTTGAGAAACAAAGTTATATTCTCCTCTCACGGAGTGATGTTGAAAGTTTAATGCGTCTGGACCCTGCAAATGCTTCTTTGCAAAAGTCTTTTGGTCAACTTGATAACGACATTCCAGATGCAGGAATTGAAGTGGAGATTGAACTAAGTGATCTCCTATTGGATATGTGCCCGATAAAACAGGTATATTTTGTCACGTTCAA